ATCCCAGTCTTGCTAACAGCACTGATTTACCAGCCTGACTGAGTCCAATCATTAAAACAGAATACACTGGTCTCGGCACATCTGGTTGCTTGCCTTTAATCTTTTGACAGCACTATAAATACAAAATTAGATACATATACCTTCATAAGCAAACACCTTTTATTAGGGTCATAATAAGTGGTTTGAGATCAGGGATCACAAGAATGCTTAGGGTCAGAGATCACAGAAGATGATTGAAGAAGATCCTATGATTGATTTTGAGAATCAGGGAATTATTTCTGGGATTGAAAGACTTTTGTGCCACAATGTTTGGAATAAGGGATCAAAATTTCATGTACAAATTCAAAATCAATCATGAAACAATTGATTCACAATTAAACTTATTTACACTAATTTTCCCCTGACTCTTAATGCTTAATTCGTTTTAGAACACGATACCATGAAGTTTCGGACAACAAACTTTCAAATAACACATTATAAGATCTTGAAAAGGAATAAACAAATAATTTTTAAATTAAAAGCTTCATTAAGTAGGCAATGTTGTGGTAATGCTCCAATAATACATTTTAAAAGCATGGCTTTTGTTAAAAACAATAATAAAATGAGTTCTTTTCACACGAAAAGAAATCATTAGCGTTTCAAATGTAAAAATAATGTAAAGCTTACACTAGTACCTTGGCAACGATGCAAACAAGTTCTTATTTATTTATTTATTTTATGGTATTATTAAGCCATTGCCTTACCTTATAACATCCTATTCTACAGATAGCGAAAAATAGGGAGCAATTTTCACACATTGAGCACATAATCTTTAAAAATTTCTTCTAAATCATTGCTGTTAGTAGAATGTAGAAGCCAGTGTTTGTCTAGACGCCATCTTGATTACCGTCAGGGATTACCGTGAAGGATTGAGTAAACACAGGAAGCCCAAACTTCCAGTGGTGTTGGTTTACGATATCTACTCCTGTCTCAAAAAGAGCTGGGTATATCCCTTCAAATTTACCTTGATGATCATTGCATGGATGTATGAGGCGTCCCTTGCATAGTCCCTTCGTAAAAATTGG